ATATAGTTATATATATATGTTTTAACTAAAGGAATGTGATAAAATCAGACTAACCTCAAAAGAAATACTAAGGGGAGTTCTTTGAACAGAGAACAATATCTATAGATATATATATATATATCTACAGTTAGAAATATATAGTTATAGTTAGAAATATATATAGAAAGAGTTTGAGATATATATAATATATATACAGTTAGAAATACATATATAGTTATATATATAGTTATAATATAAATATATATATATACAGTTAGAAATATGAGCATTTTCCCTAAGAAAATTTTTAGAAAACTCTCCATAACAAAGTCAGCAGTTGATCAAAACTTTGCAAAGAGATGAGTTTCTCTAAAGCTGATTAGAAATACTGTTTATTTTCATGAAATTTCAATGACATCACCCTCATTTATATTTGGGATAAATTGTGCTTAGGAAATACAAATAAGTAGTATTTTAGGGTCATGATTTTCATTTACCCAAGTTTTGAAGTAAAATAATTTTCAAGCTCATACTTCAATAAATAGTATGATGGTGCGCTCAAAAATAAAACAAAAAGAAAAAAGACTCAGGTTTTGGACTTAAGTCCTTAAACTAAAAATGGCATAAGCAATGTAAGAGGGTCTCCAGAAAAATAATACTATTATGGACTGTGCAGGGTCCCCTGGTGGGGCAGTGGTTAAGCACTCCCCCGCAAACCCACCAGCCACGCTGAGAGGAAGATGCTGCAGTCCGCTCTGTAAAGATTGGAGCCTTGCAAACCCTACGGGCCTGTGGTGCTCCATCAAGTCGGATCACTGCAAGCCGGAATCAAGTTGACAGCGATGCATTCACCATGCGTGGGTTGCTCATTTCCGCAGACTGTTTTTCTGAGGAGGATTTAAGATCATAGTGATCATCAGCATGGCTATTTATATGATTCCAAAGACCAGTGTATACTCCCTTGGATTAAAACCCAAAACAAAAATGTTATCATTGTGCATTGAAGAATATTATGGTTCTGGCTTTTATGTTTAAGGCATCTCTTAAATCAGATAATAACACTCAAATGCATTGTTATGGGGATTAGGTACTACCCCGAGGCCTGTGTTGAAGTTCATATAAAAACAAGCTAACATAACAATAAATAGCAATGATTTTAGGGTGTCCTCAGTTACATTTGAAATGTATTTACCATTGTGGAAAATCCCATATATATAAATGTATTTTTGAAAAACCACCAATGACTGCTTAAAACTGACACTTGCATTACTTTCTCAGTAGAGCTTTGAGCTTGACTTTCTAGCTGAGCTCGGCCAAAAACAGTTGAGCTGAGTCCAGGCATATTTCCAGTGACCACACACATCAGCCATCAAATCTCCCAGCCCAGGTTCCTAACTCCAGGGTGCAGAAAGCATTGAAAATGTTGTTCCGCTGAGCAGGTGTCGATTGAACTATTTATTATTTGTTCAAGCAGCTGAAAGCTGACACCAAACACAGGATTCTTTCAAAAGCCACAGATGCCTTGGGAACCATCCACATGAATGACTTGCTCAAGCTAAAGCTGGGAAAAGATCATCCAATGAACCTGACACTCCTCTTCCCTTTGCCCCATGAGATCTCCTTTCCCCACCTCACCTTAAACCAGTGAATCTTTAACCAAAATATACCAAGGGATCTGAAGGCTTTTACTTAGGAGTCATCCCACACTGTCTGTGTTGCTTCTAAATAACGGTGGCAAGTAAGAGGTTTTTCCTTCCACGTGACACTGGAATATAAGACACACCCCTTGCTCTTTGGGGATGCCCCCTCTGAGAGCCTGAACAACAGCAACCAATTTAAAAACCAAAAAACCTCACTGCCATCGAGTCAATGCCAACTCATTGCAACCCTAAAGGACAGAGGAGGGCTGCCCTGTGGGCTTCCGAGGTTGTAACTCTTTATGGGAGTACAAAGCCCTGCCTTTCTCCCTTCAGGTCCAGTGCAAAAGGACCCATTAGGTGCAGTGGAACGAGACTGAGAGCAAGATAAGAGACTGAGAATCTCTCCATAAAATAATGTCCAGTTATTTGACAGAAGTGTGTGGGTGGTCCAAACAGCACTAGACTACTAAACCCAAGTCCTTGGAACCCACCCTGAAAGACAGGCTTTCTCCTCCCAGAAACCCAGACTCACAGAGCAGTGCTACCCTGCCGTGTAGGGGGTGTGAGCCTGCATCTACTCAATGGCACTGAGTGTGGTTTGGAAATTTCCCTTAGAACAAAATGCTTGACAGGCTCCTTCTAAAAGATCACAGTTTTGAAAAACCTGTGGAAGGAACACAGTTTGAATCGGACTCATATGAGATCACTGTACACAGAATGTACTGATCAGCAACTTGTTTTCCACTTGGGTGTTTTTTTTTTAATTTTTAAAATATTACAAGAGACAGATGTTAGCCTTCAAATGTCTACTTGTCTTTTGAAGAGGTGATACTGAAACTGGAGCAACAAAAGCTTTGCTAGTTCATTTACTCCACGTCCCCCAGTCTTCAGTGGATTTGAAGCTCCGTTAGTTTCATCCAAGGGGGGAAATAGGAAAAAAGCTATCGGAACTGGATGATGGGTGTCGTTAGCCATAGATGAACAAGGAAAACAGGAGTGAGAAGAGGGGGTATGATGTGCGGCAGGGGTGGATGTAAAATGCTTGTAGCAAAAGGGTAAAGAGAGAGGGGCCCTCAAAGACAAACTGGACCAGGAGCAGGGAAAGAGCAAGACTGGGCAGAGGTGGACATATGTGGTGGGAGAAATGGGTTGGAGGGAAGGGACCTTCCAGGTGAGCCACCAAGGTACGACACTGCCGGAATTTGCCTGTCTTCCAGAATGACTCATTCTGCACAATCCTCCGAATGAAGGGTATGATGTGGAAAATACCTCTTCAGTCACAGATTGTGCGGCCCCACGTACTTACTACTCAGGTCAGCACAAGGAGAGTCTGACAGAGGTTAGCCAGCACAGTGCAAGAGTCTTCTACTATTACTCACAGGACGCCTGCCTGTCTTCTGGGCATCAGTCTAAATCATTTTCATCACACAGGTAAAGCTGAGTGTGAGGCAAATCAATGTCGGTGTCTCTCTAACCATGATTCTAAGCCACCAGACGCAGCTACCATTTCCTCCAGGTGTTTGGTTATATTCATGGAAAAATCAAATTAATAGAAAACAGAATTTTTCCCGTGAACTTTGTGATGTCCCCTCTTATCTGTCTTGCTGGCACAAACTGTGCTCAGCTAAAGGCAGCCGGTTGAGAGCCACCCAGAGGCACCACGGGAGAAAGCATGGCAATCTACTTCCATAAAGGCCGCCATCAGAAACACCTTTCGGAGAACGTACTCTTCTTAAACACATGAGGTCACCAGGAGGCTGAACTGACTCAACAACAATGGATTAGCTTGTAAGAGTTTGTCTGCTTGGGTTTTATACACACACACACACACACACACACACACACCTCTTTACCTTCCATATACTGATTACTTGGATAAAGCTCACCAATCTACTGTTGATATTCTGATGGTGCTTTGACTATCTAAGATAAATGTGACCCCCCTTAAATATTATCTTGAAATTCAGATATGAAACTAGGAACAAAGATGGGGAGGGAAGATCAAAACAAAAAACACTTGTATTTCTGTAAGTTCAAGCCAAGTTATTCACATATTAGGCTCCCTACACCTTTTGTGTGAGTCCAGTGACGGTTTCACCAAAGGCGGCAATTCTTGAACCATGAGCTAAGTTATTACTTTGCCAGGGCACAACTGTATCACAATAACTAGAGTCCTTACCGCCATTTAAGGGATGCATATAGATGAGATAAACAACTTAAATTTCACATCAACTTTAAGTTAAAGTTTAAATAAGGTCTAATGCAAGACAGACTCAATTTCTTTAACAAAATCTTCATTCAATTGATTTCTAAATATATGAAGAGAGCCAACGAACAAAGTCACTAAAGAAAGTCTTAACATCATCAGAAATAGAATAAGAAACGCAAGTAAGCACAAAAGTCCTTCAAAAGAAGGAAATAATTAAGAAGGAAAAGGAGAAGCAGACATCATGATATTTAACAATCAAAATCTGAAGCTGAAATCAGCTAGAAAATGGAAAAATATAAAGCAGAAAATTAAGAAATCAATTGTCCAATGTGAAAAGAAACCACTGACAAATAGAAGAAGAAGGAACA